GGCCTTGCCTGCCTGCCAAGAGCCAGGTTGTGAGTTTGATAACAAAAAAAAAAAAAAAAAAAGAGTGAATTTTTTTTTTTTAAAGTTTTAAAATGGGATGTAGAGATTTTCCACTGTAGAGGTTTTGCTGATCATCTCAAACATTTCCTAGAAACCAGCCTTGGGCAAGTAACTTTTGAAGGGGGGTGCGTTCATTGACCCAACCTATGCCATAGTTTTCTTTTTCTCTCTTGTCTGCCTTTGCCAAGTGACTCTTCCCCTTCGCTTATCTTGAATTCCAGATCACAAGTCTCATAGATAAACAGCCTCTTGTGGAAATCAAAGCTGCCTCCTAAGCAGCGGTGACTGCATGATCGGTGATCAGTCCCAGGATAATGACCCTGGTCCGGTCACCAGTTATGCCAGCCCCTGCACTCTTGCTTTTGGTCCTCCCCTGTATAACCCTGAATCTATTGTTAGCATCTTTGTAGCAGGTAGGTAGGTCTTCACCGTGTAACCCTAGGGAGAATCCGTTTTCCTGCTTGGCCACCAAGGTTTACTCTTGGCTCTTCGGGAGGAATGGCTGCACCTGGTATGCCAAGGCTCACCCTTCCCCAACCACAAGTCCTCTGGTCTAGGCTTCTGGTGACATTATGCCTGCTCCAGTGGCAGATAGGCCTGTACTCCGTCAGCCTGACAAACAGACGGAAATAGACTCCTGGGTCAAGTCCCTCTGCCTCCACAAGGCACAACCTGGACTCCAGGCCCTAGAGTCTCAATCAGAGCTCCCTTGAGCAAGTTCTATGAGATTCCAGGACACCTTCATGGTCAGCTCCTGGGGCGGCATCAGACCTGTGCTCTGGCCTTCCTCATTATACAGGGTGTATCCCCTGCAATAAGCAAAATCTCTTGCCTGGCCAGTTCTATGCAGTGGTTTAGTCCTCAGAGAAAACTGCCCCTTCTTGGAAAGTATGTGTCTGTGTTTTCCTCCATACTGTCCTATACCCCCAGCTGGAGGGCTCCTTAGGCACTTTCTGGGGGCTGGTGTCCCCTACTGTGCCATCAGTTCATCCGTTAAAGCTCAGGCAGAGCAGGAAAAACTACATCTCATTTCTAACAAGGCTGCATCTTCCTGTGAGTTGAAGCATTTTTTTTGGTGGAACCAGGGATCGAACTCAGGCCCTTGTGCTTGCCAGGGAAGTGCTTATTCTACTGAGCCATCTCCCCAGCCCCAAAGGCAGAAGAATCCCCCCCACTACACACACACAGGATGCCTTCAGGGCAGGTTTGGTTTGGCTTGAGGAGGAGGGGATCCAACCACAGCATCCTGAGCCTGACCGCTTTGTTTCCACAGGCACTTAAACACCTGAGCTAGTGGGCAGGCCCCCAAGTTGAAGGTGGCATCAAAGTGCATACCCTCTGTCCTCTTCGTCACACTTGTGGGGTCACCTCCCTGGAGCTGTCAGCTCCCTACACAGTTGCTGCTCCTGGGAGAAAACTATGCAGAGCCTGTACCAGGTGTGAATGCCTTGAGGCAGTTGCGATGTGCTGCTAAATGGGCAAAACACCGAAAAAATGAGTACTGGATACATGGAGTAACTGGGTCCTTCATCAGCCCAGTGACAGATCAACCATTGCCCAGTGAAAGGAGGCGCAGAAATTCTTGCTACATAATGACACGGAGATCTTGTAAAGCTGTGGTTAGCAAACTTGTTTTAGTCCTACTATAATAAAAAACAATATATTTTGCTTCATACATGCCTTGTTCACTCACTTGGGCATATAAGTGCGATGGGAAAATATGGCAAATATTTAAATTTTAAAATGTTATCTCAGTGAAAGACCCACTGTCATTAAATCCCCTCGAAGTACTTCCTTTTACTGAAGCATAATTCCACTGTTCTTGCCAATTTCTGATGCGGTCCTGGTGTCCTCTTTCCCGAGTGTCTTTAGTGGGGCTGTCCTGGCTGCCTTAACGTCCCAAATTACTCAAACCGCGTACCTTCCATGGTCATCTGGACTTTGGAGAGGAGCTGGAAGCCCTGCGGTGTCAGATCTGGCTAATAAGGTGGCCATAAACTGTAATGTTTTCACGAACTTTTCCATTGGATGGTCCTGGGCAGCAGCGGTCACCCTATTTCTGATCACATCTGGCAAAGGCACTGAGGAAAGAAGACTTCCGAGCTACTTCGGAGAGCGGCAAGAGCGCTGGGCTAGGTGTTTGAAGCAAGGCGGGTATTTTATGGGGATTAATGGAACATGCCCTTTACAGTAAAACACTGCTTTTTCACCCCGTAGAGTTTTTCTGTCACACCTCGTATAATGTACATCAATTCGAGATGGAGTAGAAAACAAATGGTTGCGTAGGTATGCGTACAGCACACTTTGCTTCTGTTACACCCCTGGGGGTGCAGGAGGAGTTCCCCAACCCAGGTCTCCGCCCCCAGCTCCACCGGACAGGGAGGGGGCGTGTCTGTTTGGGGGCGTGTCTGTTTGGGGGCGTGTCCGGCGGGGGGCCTGTCGTGGCGGGGGCGGGGCCCGAGGCCACCCGGGTGGCAGCTCCGGGCCCTGGCCGGGCACAGCGCGCGATGGACGCCCGGGACTGCGAGGGGGCCGCGGGGTCCA